GATAAGAAAACAAGATCCATATATATGCTGCCTCTAAAAGACCCATCTCAGATCAAAAGACACATACAGACCTAAAAGTAAAGGGTTGGCAAAAGATATTTCACGTAAATGGAAAAAAGAGAAAAGCTGGAATAGCAGTACTTACACATGACAATGGACTTTAAAACCAAGGCTATAATAAGAGACAGGGAAGGGCAGCACATAATGATAAAGGGAACAATCTAACATAGGAGCAAATAAATATGTGAAGCAAATCTTGATGGACACAAAAGGAGAAATGGAAGGAAATACTGTCACAATTGGGGATTTTAATACCCCACTGACTTCTATGGATAGATCTTCCAGACAGAAAATCAACAAGGAGACAGTGGCCTTAACTGACACACTAGATCAAATGGATTTAGTTGATATCTTCAGAGCATTCCACACTAAAGCAACAGGATATGTATATTTTTCAAGTGCACATGGAACGTTTTCTAGGATAGACCACATTTTGGGACATAAGTCTCAAGAAATTTAAGAAGATTGAAATCATATCAAGCATCTTCTCTGACCATAATGCTATGAAACTAGAAATCAATCACAAGAAGAACACTGAAAAACACACAAAAAAATAGACACTAAATAACACATTATTAAACAATGAATGGGTCAACAATGAGATCAAGGAAGAAATCAAAAGATACTTTGAAACAAATGAAAATGAGGACACAACAATCCAAAATCTTTGGGACACTGGGAAAGCAATCCTAAGACAGAAATACATAGCATTATAGGCCTACCTCAAAAAAAAAAAAAAAGAAAGAAAAAGAAAAACTCAAATAAACAATTTAACTTCACACTTAAATGAACTAAAAAAACAAAAACAAACAAAAAAAGCCCAGAGTGAGTAGAAGGAAGGAAATAATAAAGAACAGAGCAGAAAGGAACGAAATAGAGCCTAAAAAAAGATACAAAAGATCAATGAATCCGTCAATAAATAGATCAAGAGTTAGTTCTTTGAAAAGATAAATAATATTGACAAATCTTTAACTAGACTCATCAAGAAAAAAAGAGAAAGGACCCAAATAAATTAAATCAGAAATGAAAGGAGTGAAATAACAAATGACATCAAAGAAAACAAAGGATTGTAAGGAAATATTATGAACTATATGCCAACAAACTGGACAAACTGGATGAAATGCACAAATTCCTAGAAACATAAAAATCTTCCAAAACTAAGTCAGAAAGAATCAGAGAATCTAAATAGAGAGATTACACCTAATGAAACTGAAACAGTAATCAAAAAAGTTCCAACAAACAAAAGCCCTGGACCAGATGGCTTCACAGGTGAATTTTAGCCAACATTCCAAGAAGAACTAACACCTCTCCTTCTAAACTATTTCATAAAATTTGAGAGGGGGGAAGATTCCCAAACTCATTGTACAAGGCCAGCATTATCCTAATTCCAAAACCAGATAAAGACACTACAAGGAAAGAAAATTATAGGCCAATATCCATGATGAACATAGATGTTAAAATACTCAACAAAATATTAGCAAACTGAATACAGCAATGCATCAAAAAGATCATGCACCATGAACAAGTGCAATTTATTCTGGGAGCACAAGGTTGGTACAACATTCACATATCCATAAATGTGATTCGCCACATAGACAAGATGGAGGATAAAAACCACATGATCATATCAATAGATGTACAAAAAGCTTTTGATAAAATCCAGCACCCATTTATGATCAAAACTCTCAGCAAAGTGGGAATGGAGGGAACATACCCAAACATAATAAAGCCCATATATGACAAACCAACTGCCAGTATCATACTCAATGGGCAAAAACTACAAGTGCTCCCCTTAAGATAGGGAACAACACAGGGATGTCCACCTTCACCTCTCTTATTCAACATAGTACTGGAAGTCCTAGCCACAACAATCAGACAAGAAGAATAAAAGGCATCCAAATTGGAAAGGAAGAAGTAAAACTGTCTTTATTTGCAAATGAAATGATACTATATATAGAGAACCCCAAAGAGTCTACCAAGAAATTACTAGAACTGATAAATGAATTCAGCAAAGTAGCAGGCCACAAAATTAATATCCAGAAATCAGTTGCACTTTTATATGCCAATAATGAACTAACAGAAAGGGGAATTAAGAAAACAATTCCATTCACAATTGGTTCACAAAGAATAAAATACTTAGGAATAAACCTAGTCCTGTACATGGGAAATTATAAGACACTGAAGAAAGAAATTGAAGAATATACAAATAAGCAGAAGCACATACCATGTTCATAGATAGAAGGATTAGCATATTAAAATATCCATACTACCAAAAGCAATCTATAGATTCAAAACAATTCCTATCAAGATTCCAATGATGTATTTCACAGAACTAGGACAAATATTTCAAAAATTTATATGGAGCCACAAAACGCCCTGCATAGCAACAACAATCCTGAGAAAGAACAAATTTAGAGGAATCATGCTACATAATGTCAAACTACTACAAGGCCATAGTAATCAAAACAGCATGGTGCTGGCATAAAAACAGACACATAGATCAATGGAACAGAATAGAGAGCCCAGAAATAAACCAACAACTTTATAGTCAATTAATTTTTTTTAAAGATTTTATTCACTTATTTTTAGAGAGGGAAGGGAGGGAGATATATAGATAGAGAGAGAGAGAGAGAGAGAGAGAGAGAGAGAGAGAGAAACATCAATGTGCGGTTGCTGGGGGTTATGGCCTGCAACCCAGGCATGTACCCTGGCTGGGAATCGAACCTGGGACACTTTGGTTCCCAGCCCATGCTCAATCCACTGAGCTACACCAGCCAGGGCTATAGTCAATTAATTTTTGACAGAGGAAGCAAGCACACACAATGGGGTAAAGATAGTTTATTTAATAAATGGTGTGGGGAAAACTGGACAGATACATGCTGAAAAATGAAACTAGACCACCTTCTTACAATACACACAAGAATAAATTCAAAATGGATTAAAGACTTAAATATTAGATCCCAAAACCATAAAAATCCTAGAAGAAAACATAGGCAGCAAAATCTCAGATATTGCTTGTAGAAATTTTTTATCATATATATCTCCCCTGGCAAAGGAAACAAAAGAAAAACATTTAAAAAATGAGACTACATCAAACTAAAAAGTTTCTGCACAGCAAAGGAAAACATCAACAAACTAAAAAGACAATCCACAGAATGGGAGAACATGTTTGCTGATAATTCTGATGAGGAGATTAATCTAAAAAAATTATGAAGTACTTACAAAACTCAACACCAAAAAAAAAACACCCCAATTTAAAGATGGGCAAAGGAACTGAATAGGCACTTCTTCAAGGAGGACATACAGATGGCCAATAGACATATGAAAAGATGCTCAGCATCACCAATCTTCAGAGAAATGGAAATTAAAACCACAATGAGATATCATCTCACACCTGTCAGAATGGCTATCATCAATAAATAAACAAACAAGTGCTGGTGAGGGTGTGGAGAAAAGGGAACCCTTTTTGTAATGTCGGTGGGAATGCCGGTTGGTGTAGCCACTGTGGAAAGCAATATAGAGATACCCCACAAAATTAAAAAATGGATCTGTCTTTTGACTCAGCATATCCCACTTCTGGGAATATATCCAAAGAAACCCAAAACACTAAATCAAAAGAACATGAACACTGCTATGTCCATTGCAGCATTATTTACAATTGCCTAGATATGGAAGCAGCCCAAGTGTCCATCAGTTGATGAGTGGATAAAACAACTATAGGATATTACACAATGGAATACTACTTGCCCATAAAAAAGAAATTTCTACCCTTTGCAACAATATAGATGAACCTGTAGAACATTATGCTAAATGAAATAAGCCAATCAGAGAAAGCCAAATACCATATGATTTCACTCACATGTGGAATCTAATGAACAAACTGAACTAACAAGAAAAATACAGGCAGATTCATAGATAGAGAGCAGGATGACTGCTAAGGGGAGAGGAGGTGAAGGGGTGGAGAGATTGAGCAAAAAGGAAAAAGGCCTCATGGACAACAGTGTAGTGATTGCTGGGGGCTTGGGGGTTATCAGGGGACTAAATGGTAGTGGAAAATATACAATAAAGATTAAATTTAAAAAATAAAGACTTTGTAAAAAATTATAAAAAAGAGAATATGTTTTAGATATAGTTCTAGTACTCTAAGTCTTCAGCTCTTTTTTCAAATGTCTCTCCTGTTGAAATGACCTTATAAAGAAAAGAAGATTTTAGCCCTGGCTGGCGACTCAGTGGATTGAGCGTGGGCTGTGAACCAAAGCATCACAGGTTTGATTCCCAGTCAGGGCACATGCCTGGGTTGCAGGTCATGGCCCCCAGCAACCGCACATTGATGTTTCTCTCTCTCTCTTTCTCCCTCCCTTCCCTCTCTAAAAATAAATAAATAAAATCTTAAAAAAAAGAAAGAAAAGAAGATTCCAAATCAATACTCAATTAAAAATACTTCACTGGATCAGAGGAAGCAGGGAGTGGCATGTTATTTCAATAAGCACAGTGATGGGAAGGAATCCAGTTTTTTCTTGGGACTAAGGAGTTGCCCAACATTGCCACCCAAAGCCTCTGTTCACTGAATAATAGTCCTGTTTGTGAGGTTCAAAATTTCACTCAGGAAAATAAAATGGGAAGAAAATGGCAACAATTGTCTCTGAAATTTCCTTGACACAAACATGCCAGGTCTGGTGAAGGGCAACCCACTTGTAAGTTCTGCCTAACAAAAGTGTGCCCTGCTGGCCCCCGGTGCATCTGTGCACAAGCATTCGCCCACCATACAGTGGTCACACGCCTACCACCAACACACTGGGCTTCCCATGCCACACCGTCGTCATGCACCCGTCCCACTTCCCATTGTTCTTTTCCTCTCCAGCTTTCTCTCTTTCCCGCCATACCCCCATCTCTTTCGAAAGGACTTAATTCCTGTAACACTTTCATAGGGAGAAAGGGCTTTACTTGGCAACTCTTGGTTTACAGGATCGTTGGTGAACAATCAGTCTGTCTGGCAGGAAGGTGCGCCCGCAAATATTACAGGCAACCAGCTGGCTCTGGGCACTTGTCCAAGCAGCTTCATTTAAGGCATCGAGATCATAGAAACCTTTGGCTGGAAAGTTAAAAAAAAAAAAGAAAGGAAAGGAAAAGAAAATGGTAAAATGGATCAGTTTTCATTGGGGAGAACCATATTCTACTTTTTATGGAAAATATTTTCAGGAAATACCTGTTGACTGAGGCTTTTAAACAAATCATATTACTTTGGCAAAAAAAAAATAGTTCTGTTCACTCAAGGGTTGAGTAAAGTTAGCTATGAACCAGAGGCTTTTCACTCCTTGTATTTTAAAAAGGGAAAGGCATTGTTTTATGTGTTATGATATGCATTCTTTACTAATTATTAACATCTTTGCTTACACATTGTTATCTTGCAAATATAACTTTTGGCCTTCTTTCAGTTGACTCTAAATATAAACTTACACAGGAAAAAGAACATGTATTTGTATTTTCCTCTTCCGTAATCCTTCAGTGGAATGTTTTTGGAGGCCAAAACTGACAGTTGAGAGTGAATTTAAGATAAATTACATCATAAAAATTTATCATCTTTTTAAGGCCATAAACTCAGAGATTCTTTAAGTAATTAAAGTGAAGAATGCAAACAGAATAGTTAATCTGACGAAAAGAAGTGCCCTTAGGAAAACAACGGAGACAGCTGAAAGATGTATAATCTTCATTGGCAGAGCACAGGAAAAAAGGCATATGGCTTTATTTTAGAGAAACAGTGTGGGATTTAGCTTTAATGAACCTTATTTAAATACAATGACTTTAGTACATTAAATCAATTCTGTCTTAGAATCTCTCAAGATAGGCCCTCCAGAGTGTAGCCAGGCACTCAAAAATATACAACAGGTTTGGTTTTGTTTTTTATTTTTATCATTTTACAGAGCATATATTTCATCATTAAAGCCCAGGCAATGCTCATATGAGCTCTGTCTAATGGTTCACACAACCTCAGCAAACCTCAGATTCCTTAGCATGCCTACTTCAAATATTCTGCCAGCCCCCAGGGAAAATTAAACCCCAGCAAACCTAGTATTTCTCCCTTGGATAAAACAAGTATCACTTTCTACATAGGATATGAAAGTGTACTTTATGTGCTTTGAAAACTGTTGCAAAAATAATGGCACTGACTTTCTTCTGACTCATAAGCTTTAATATGGACTAGAAATTCCAGAATATTCATTGATTCCCACTTTAAGACGATTCATCACATCTCTAAAAGTGTTGGCGTAGGGCTCTGACTTTGGATGTGAATGAAGGGTTATTTGAACTCTATGACTACAGGAAGTCCATGGGATGGAAGTGGTAATGGCAGTTATTTTGGCCTAGAGATGAAGGACATCTTCAGGAATAAAAATAACCTGAGGTCAACAGGAAGATTACAGGGGGGTGCAGTTATAGGACCTACCTTTTCCATCTGTAGGCAATAACGGAAGAATGAACCCAACAGGGTTTTCAAAATAGTCGTTTCTTTCACCTCTTACAGACTTGTGATAATTATGCTCAAGCACAGAAAGTGGTTGAGATCGGAAGTGAAGGAAATGCACTTTTGATACCAAGTGCAAATTGGTAGGAAAGAGTCTCAGTGAGGTAAACAATCTCTTTGTAGGTAAACATTTTAATTTCAATGAATGTTTTTTTCATCTTGAGCTCTTTTCCCACCTGTACTCAGAGTCCTTCTCTTAGCAAGACCTGTGAGTAGCTGAATTCTAGAAGCATCTAAAACTTCATTACGGCGATCTAAATTCCATTGTGTAAATTGTTAAAAACTCTCTTTGGGTCACATCTCTAATAAGAGTGCTTTGGACTAAATGATACTAAATAACCTCTGAGGTGCCTTCCAGTTCCTCAAATCTATGGCTACATAAGGAGAATGAATGAATTGAATGAAACTCCTCTTAAAACCAAAATGATATTTCCTTGAGGATAATTAAGGAATCAACTGAGAAAATGACAATCATACGAATGAGAAAGTCAGAGGTTGTACAGCAAATAATATCCTGGGAACTACTTTATTCTCATACCCTAAGTGAGTGTGCCTAAGTCTCTAACAAGGTCACACGTGCCTGGAGCTCATGGAGTCCCAGTTTCATCTGGCTTGTGCATTGCTTAATAAAGTACTGATAGCGAAATTTTAAAAACCTGGGCATTTCATATAGATGTCTATATTTTCAATTCATTTGTATTTTTGAAAGGTATGACCACACTGTGATAATTTCTCAGTGATAACACCAGCTGAAACTGGGAGCAGCTGTCTACGTTAGAGCTAGTGCTTTCCAGCCACCACAGTCTTCACCTCCCCTTTTCATACATGGACCAATTTATTCAATTTTGAAACCCGATTAGTGGACCCTGTAAGCATTCAAGTTTGGTGCCCCTGTTCTACAAACTCTAAGATGCATTTATATTTGAAAAGATGTCACCAGATATCATATGTCTGATAATATATGAAAGTAAATTTGATACATATTTAAATTCCAGAATTTAAAATTGTGCTCTCCTTGCACAATTTTGCCAGGATGTGGTATCTTTAGATCTCGGCATCTGAGGAGAACACTTTGGGCAGGCATTCCAAAACCATTTTTCCTACTCAGCTGTAGCCAACACAATAAATATTATTGATTTCAATTGTGTGAACAAGAGAAAAAAGAATATCTCTACTCAAAAGTTTAGAGAGAAAAGTCTCCCCTTATGCATTCAAGCCTTTTCATCCAAAAACTTACCACTGATGGTCCTGACTTCAGGTTTCTTAGGTTCTGGTCTCCTTAACTCTTTAGGCAACAAGTTGTTTTCATTGTGCCATTTTTTCAGGCATTGTGGCTCATGGATGGCAATCGATTTTGTTCCATATTCACGACCACAAATGTAGCAAATGACTGTCGGTGGACGCCTAATCATTTTCGGCTGCAAATAATAGAAAATATCTGTTAGATAAACTTTAGAAAATTATACAGGGTCTGGCAGAAGCAGCGCCTGCTTGAGTTTGAGTGCGGTTGGTAGGGTATGTGAATGTCTCACACGTGGTGGACAGCAATTTGAACATTTCATTTAAAATGTTATATGGTGTGTTTGAGTGTGATATCATTATGTTACAGAATTGCATGCTTATGATTTTGTAATAAAAATTTTATAATAAAAAGGGGCATTATTTATGCCAGGCCCTGTATTTCAAAATTGTGACATTAAAATGCTCTATAAAATAAATGTTTTTAAAAATTTCAAAGAGTCTGGTAAAGTTCACCTTTTGGGAAATTAAGAGAACTAAGTTATGTTATATGAGCGATTGGAGCTGGGTGAGGATGTGGGTTTGGGAGGAGGACAGAAAATAAAGATGGTCTAGCCAGAATTCTATTTATTGGTACTTCATAAAATATATTTTTCATTTAATAAACATTGATTGATTGTCTTCTGACTATTCTCCATGATGGGAGAATACAATGATAAATCAAGTATGAAACATCCTCTCAAAAACATCAGGCTCCAGTACACTATTATGTCTGAGAAATAAAGTAATGAGTGTCATTGGAGAGTTTATAACAGTGTTATGCCTGCCCATATTCCCTCGTATAAACAACTTTCTAGTGCAAGCTCCTCTGATTTTCTGCCATTTTTGACCTGGAGTAGCCTCCACCCACAGGCAGAATAGCTAATCAATTACAGATGGAAGCTGGTGGATAAATACCCAGCTTCCTCCCCAAGACTGCTTCCACACCGTCCTCTAGAAGTCTCTACTGGGACTGCACCACAATTGTCCATGAACACACTATGTAAGCTTCCTCCTCTTCCCCATCTCTGCTGCCACTACTTTCTGGGTTTTTCTGGAATCACCTCCCAAATAAAGTACTTGAACTCAAATCCTTTTCTTAGCATTTGTTTCTGAGAAGATAAAATCTAAGGATGAGTTAAGGATAAATGCACTAGGGAGCCTCTGCTTCTGATACTGAAAGTTACAAGAAACATTGCTTCCAACTAAACAATGAGAACAAAACAGATAACCCACAGAATAATAATTTTTGAGCCCATTGGGGATTCTAAATTGCAAGATAAGTTAATAAATGAAAGGGACTGCCTAAATTCGATGGTGGATCAGCAGAACCAAGAGAAAAGCTCCCACATTCCAACTTTACATTCACATGGGAAGAATTGGTCTGCCTCATAAAGGGGCCGGACAGCTGACTGGGAACCCCACTCTTTCACCCACCAGATCTTACACTCAGTAAGAGGAGGTGACTGGCTAACATTGGAGAGAGGCAGGACCATTGAGAGAGGCCATTACCTAGTCAAGAACATAGGGCCTGCCCAAATCTGAGGGTAGGGGTATAGAATTGGGTTTTATGCTGAGTCCCAGATAAGAGCAATCTACGTTTGGGGTGAAAATAAGAGAGACTCTCTCTCGGCTACAGGCATGTACACTGCCACCAGAGTCTAAGGGTGTAGCAGGAGAACTGGGAGGAGCCCTTTGGCTCCAGGCCTTACACTAAGTACAAGGCAGGGGCAGTTTACCACAGGGGGGATTTAAAGGCTGTAGTCCACTGAACATAACTAAAGCAAAAAAAAGTTCCAAACCTTACTAAATTACAGACCACATTGGCATAGCCACTTATACTCACAGGCTGACAGAAGAGGCATACTCATTTCTGGGCACAAGCATAATTTACCTCAGAATCTTACAATGTCCAGTATTCAGCCACACATACACACACACAGAAATTAGCATCTATAATTGTTAGATGTTAAGTGTAACCACATCAAGGTATGGCCTAGATACTGGGATTAGCAGAGTAAACTATTTTTATTTATTTTTATTTTATTTTATTTTAAAAATTATTAAAAATAATTATAATAAAGGATTACAGTTATTTTTAAAGGACCTATGTTAAAGGATCTAGAGGAAAAGGTAGACAGCATGCATAAATATAGGGAAAATTAAAACTGAGAGATAAAAAGCAAGTAAAAACTATTCAAGAAAACCAAAATAATAGGAAATTGTTAATCAGAAGAATGACCTATAATTGCACTTCCAGAAAGTTAGTTTGGTTGTTATGCATCTAAATGGGCTAGAAGGGCAGCATGTGTCTGACAGCTTGAACACCCATGGCTCTGGGCTCAGGAAGGCCTGGGTCCAAGAGAACCAACATTTCCTTCTAGGTACCAAGGAATATGGGGGTTACTGACTGAAAGGCGGAAGTCAAGAAAGACAGGTTGGAGGAGAAAAAAAATAGAACCTGTTCTGGACCTGTTGCATTTGACATGTCAGTAGAGTTTAAATGTGAATAAATCCAGCCTAAACAGGAAATAGAGGCCTGTAATTTGGGGTTCATAAGCTTCACAGCTATCAACACAGAAAAGACACTAAAACCATGAAAATTCCAGAAAAGAAGTAGATAGAGACTGTTTGAAGAAAAATTCTTGAGAGAATATCTGTAATAAGGAGATTGGGCCAGGGAAACTGCAGCCTACAGAGATAAAGGTCCCAGTTCGCAGTTAAAGATACAGGAAACGGAGACAAAAGACTCCATTCAGAATTTTGGAAACACTTCTGGTTTCCAGAAAGACGGTCTTGAAAGTTAGTTTGTCAAATGCTACAGAGAAGAATGGCAGTTGAAAAAGATCGTTAGATTTGGTTACCAATAGGTTATAAGCTAGTGACTTTTGGTTGTGTAGTTGCAATGGGGTCATAAGGATAAAAACCACAGGGTTAGGAGTTAAACATCAGGTCAAGAAGAGGAATGCACATCCAAAAAAGCTTGCAGAGAGGACATTTGAGAGGTAAGTAGTGCTGAAGAAAGATTTGTTTTGTTATTGTTTTTAGGGTAGGACTACCTTTGGTAGAAAGAGAGACTGCAGGCCTAAAAGAAAAGGGATAATCATTTTACAAAGCCCTCAGAGGAGGCAGGAGGAGATGTAATCAAAGGTGTAACTGTGGACATTGTTAGCCTCAGAGGAAGGGGAAGAAAGAGGACTTAGACGAAGTTAGAAAAAGGTTGTAGAGAAGGGAGGCACTGGTGGAGCTCACATAAGGTGAACTTAGTCTTTTATGGATGAGGTAGAGTGATCTTCAGAGAATAAAGAAATTCAAATTCTGGGAAATAGAAGAGTGACACATACTGGGATTAGGCAGCGCTGCCAGGAATGCAACAGTGATTCAATGAGGGGAGAACACTCACCTCATAATGGGAAAGACCCAGTTAGGTAGAGTGGCAAGAAATTTTAGTGGTATCAAACGACCTTTTCCAATATGTTCTTAAGTAGCACTGGGTGGCATGAAAGCAGAAACTAAGCTGGTGGTGTGGTCTTCTTTGGCAAAATAAAACCTGGTAAAATGTGTGTGTTCATTTTAGAATCAGCCTACTTTTAACTAAGACTATTGGAGGTTACACCTGCAGCGGGGAGTGCACAGAGGAAGAATAAAATCAGATTTAGCGTGTATATGACTTCTGCATAGCCAAGCAGAAATAGCACATTCTAGACGGACAAATCCACAATTAATATAGACCAAACAAAATGCAAAATAGAGTTATTCACTTGAGGATCTAAGTTTTTTTTAAGCACATTCTTTGAAGTACAATATTTTTATTCTGTTATTCTGTACTGAATTACGGCAGTAGACTGCATTCATACAAATAACTAAGTAGTTGTTAATCCTTTCTTGTTATTAGCCATGTAGCTTCTAACATCTAAAAAGTGACTTAAAAATATTAAGGGAATTCAAGACCTAAGAGAAAGGATAAAGCAGAAGCAATAATTTTGAAAATATACAAAAGTTCTTTACTATGTTTTACACGTTTATTTACTTGAAAGATTAATTAAATGCAGGGTTTTTTTAGCTTAAAAAATGAAAAGGGTATTTTTTGCTTTGAGAATAATGAATTTATTAAAATTCCATATGGAAAGTATGAACCAAATCCTGTATTTAACCAAGCATATAAGGAAAATAAATGGCGGGGTCATAAATGAAGAATGTCACATTGTCAGAAGGTTTCTTTTGGAAGGAAAAATTAGAAGAAAACGGGCAGACAGAGGCCAGAAGACATGCACAAAATAACTTAAAGGGATGTGGGAGAAAATTAATACCATAAAAAGGCTAAGATGTTCTGTATTATATTTTCCAAAGCATGCCGCATGCTCTGTATTTGTGGTTGAACTGCAGTTGAACCTGCAACATACTCCATATTCTCAGGTTTTGAACATCTCACTTCTAAGCCATGCTCTGGGGAAGTGCAAGCCACCCAGGCACAGCCTAAGAGAAAAATGCATCCCTGAATGGAGATAAGAGATCCTCTTTTATTTTTCATTAATTTCACCATTGTCAGTCAGAAACTTCCAGGGAAAGTGGAATGATCTCCAACTTGTGGTTATGGCCAGTACCCCAGCTGCCAAGATTTTACCCTTCAGTCTCTTCATGCAGTTTTCAGATGGAAGTGGGTGTGTGGGGGATGGAGAAGAAGAACAGGAAGAGGAGAACATAGCCCTGGCAGAAGGGCCAGAGGACTTGCTTGGCTCATGTGCTAATGTGGCACAGCCTAACAGAGCAAGGCAGAGGCCGTGGAAGGCTTCCCAAGGGGCCTGTTTACACAGCCCTTACCAGGGCCTGCCAACCCCAGGAAAGTGTAACCAAAGGAAGGCAAAAGGGAAGTTGATAAGTCTAAAGTTTCTGCAGAGCAAAAGATCCCATCAACAGTTTTCCTGTCAACATTTCAGATGTTTTGGGAAAGAGGCACTACTTTTTTAACATCTAGGTAAAATATTTTTAAAAACTTCATCTCCGAATCTATGTAAGTGCTATTTCAAGTGTAAACTGTTTCACGGGATAGGGGAGACCACGTGTGCCTACACACAAAGTTTATTAGGGATCATCACGATTTTGCCTTTATTCTTCCAGTTTCCTGGGAAAGTCTGCTAGG